AGAAAAAGAAAAAAAAAAAAAAAAACAGAAAAGGGCAGGGGGTGTACCAGCTCAGTGGTAGAGAACTCCTGGATTCAATACCCAATACTATTAAAATAAAAAGTAACTAAGATAAACAGATGACTTAAGAGAATGAATTGAAAAATGTCTTCTGTTTTCTGGAACAATTTTTTAACAATGGAATGACCTATTCCTCAAAAATCTTCTGTAATTTTTATTTTATTTTTAAAATTTATTTTATCTGGGCCAGATATTTCCTTAGTGGGAAAATTTAACTGCTATTTCACATATTTTTATTAAAAGCTTTCTTATTTAGGTAAATTGTATTTCTTTTAGGAGTTTATTTTGCCTAACTTCCAATTGTGCTGGCATGAAATTATAGTACTCTATTATCTTTCTAATCTGATCTATCTCTAGTTTTGTCCTTTTTATTCTCAGTGTTTATGCATTCTCTTTTTTCTCATCCATCTTACCAGGTTTGTCTACTTTTCTAGTCTTTTCAAAGAATCAACTTTTAGCTTTGGTCATTTCTCAAGTAGTCTCTAAAACTCTTTATCATTTTATAGCTCAATGGTCCATACCTGTCCTTTAACATGACTATCTGATACAAAATCTTTTTCCTTAGTATAACCTGAATTCCAACACAGCTGACCTTATGGCTCAGGCTCTGCTTAACCAATTTCAGCTCTAAATTAGCTTTTCAGTTTAGCAAAAAACCCTTTTAAATGTAATGTTATTCCAGAATTCCATGACTAGGACATCTTCCTTATACTTATGCCTCTGTACAAGAGATTTTTCCCCACCTAAAATATCTTTTATCTTTTTAGAAGCCAACAAAAATATTTGTAACTGATAATTTATACTGTTTTCATCAAGTTTTGTAAAACTACCACCACACACTACTGGTGGTCTCTTTCCATCCTATGTTCCCATAAAATATTTACATTTGGATTACATTATCACAGAATAATATATTTTTTTAGGGGTGGGGCAAGTACTATGGATTGAACTCAGGGCTTCACACATGCTAGGCAAGAACTCTACAAGCCTTTTAAAAATTTATCTTCAGACAGATCTTGCTAAGTTGGCCAGGCTGGCCTCAAATTTACAATCATCCTGCCTCAACCTCCCAAATAGCTGGAATTACAGGCATATGCCACCATGCCTGTCTACGTAAGTAATTTTTATTCAATTTTACGATGTCCCGGGCACTATTTGAAATAAATATTAACTTATTTCTCATAGCAATCCTAGTAAGTATGATTATTTCCATTTTCCCAGATGGACATACACAGAAGTTATATAGTTACATAGCTAGTAAGTAGCTGAACCTGGATTCAAATCCCTTAAGTCTGTCTCTAGACCATGTGTTCTTGACCATCGAACTATGCTTCTTTCAATTGTTCTAATAATATTCTCCTAAACCTGGGCAAACCACAGGTTTACAGGGTCCCAGGCTACCATATTTCACCTCGTTAAGGGATACAAGTTTTCAAATTCTTGAGAAAGAAGCAACTTTGATGATTTAATATTTTTAATACAAAAACAATTTTTAGGCAAAACTAAGATGTACAGTCGTACTCCAGTCATTCTGTAATGACTGAATGTAATGGAAAAATGCCATGGATAGTTATATAAATGGCCCTTTATAAGAAATGTCTTAGACATTTCACTATGGATAAATAAAAGCACAAAAGTATAATTTTGGCATAAAACTTTATCTATGATGTTGCATTATAACCTATGTTTATCTTCTTGAGACCTGTGGTCCAGAAATCAAATGTGTTTTTTTTTAGAGAGAGAGAGAAATTTTCTTTTTAATATTTATTTTTTAGTTCTTGGCGGACACAACATCTTTGTTGGTATGTGGTACTGAGGATCGAACCTGGGCCGCACGCATGCCAGGTGAGCGCGCTACCGCTTGAGCCATATCCCCAGCCCCAGAAACCAAATGTTTATGACACCAGATTTAACATTATTTTAAGACCTAAAAGTTTTGAGGCCTGTCATTTTAGTGTTAAGAGTTCAAACATAGGGGTTGGGGTTGTTGCTCAGTAATAGAGCACTTGCCTGACACGTGTGAGGCACTGGGTTAGATCCTCAGCACCACGTAAAAATAAATAAATACAATAAAAAAAATTGTCTATCCGCAACTAAAAAATATTTTTAAAAAAGAGTTCAAACTTGAATAAAAAGCATGAATCTACTACTTAAAGCAATGTTATAAGTGTAAGGCAATTCTGGAAAAAAAAACCAAAACTACAAAACAGCTAAGACTAAGTATAATCAACTGAACACTGATTAAAAGTCTAGAGTTAAAACCCAGTTACTATTTCACTGCAAATGAGGAAAAGCCAGACACCAATTAAGGAGAAGTACTAAGCAAATAATTACAAAATACTAGATTAAGTGAATGTAAGATGCTAGTGATTGTTAGCAGCACTATTATTTTCTCTCTCTCTAAAAAAGAATAAAAATAAAACCTGCACCATTTAAATTGTGATATGCTATCGACTGTTGGACACGTCCAGATTTCAAAAATGAGAAAAAAACCCCTGGATTTTAGAACCAATGAAATATAGTTTAAATCACTATTTAAAATAGTGATTTAAATATAATCAGGTATGAGGAGACCGAATTCAATTCAAGGCATACTAACATTCAATTCAAATAACATCATTAATTAAAGGGAATTAAGGACTGTGCTAAACATTCTAGAACATAAAGCTGGCACATTTTCCTCCTCAAGGTGCTCAAGAGTTGAGAAATTTAACACTCCTAAGAACTGTAGTAATAATAAATTTCAATCTGAAATATTCAGGCATTTTGAATGTAGTAATTTGATTCAACTGTATATTTATTCTAAAAAAACACTCATTTATGCAAACTGGCCAATGCAAAAATAAATAAATAAAAAAGTAAGACTTGGAAATCTAACCAACCAGTTTTGATAATTTTGCTAAATGGAAAATTATGTAATGACTACAAGTATAATCTGAAAGACTACATAGCACTATGGAAAAGTATGATTGTACTACTGCTATTAAAGAGAATAGTTCTGTCTTAGGGGGATATGATGAAGAATTTTATGGCAAAGAGTTTAGTATCTCCAATTTAATCTTAAAAGGGCTCAGAACAAACAAAAACTAATATATATACTGTTCAAGCAAGTGGAACTAAACGTAAGCAACTGGTAAATATGTGTAATGGCTGTACAAAAACTTTACTATTCCTGCAACTACTACCCTAGTGGAAACTATATCAAAATAAAAAGTTACCAAAACATTTAGATTTGTGAACAAAAATGGAAAACACACACACATAAAAAGCAATTTAAAAATGGAAAAGACTGTGGATGCTTTATTTTTGTTAATAAGTAGTTTTCATAATATAGGCTGTGTTCCTTGGGGCCAGGAATATTTTAGATTTCCAATATTTTCCCATTTTGTAATATTTGCATGTACATGTAATATTTGTGGATGACACCCAAGTCTAAAACCAAATTCATTTGTTTCATATACACCTTACAATATAGTTTTAAGGTAATTTTATACAACGTTTTTAGTGCATTTGCATTTTTTTGGGGGGGCTGCATAATAATAAATTTTATTTTATTGGTAGATAAATAATTATACATAACAGTAGGAAGTACATGTACATAATTTGATCAATCTCATTCCCCAATACCTTCTCTTCACCCTTTATCCCCAGATTTGTTTTAACTGATACACATCATAAGAGGTCAGGTGTGGAATTTTCCACGTGTGGTATCATATTGGGGCTCAAAAAGTTTCAGAGTCCGGGGAAGGGGAATGGGAAAGACAGTAGAATGATTCTGACAAAACTTTCCTATGTTCATATATGAATACATAACCAGTGTAATTCCATATCACATACAACCACAAAAATGGGAAGTTGTACTCCATGTATACATGTCAAAATATATTCTACTGTCATGTATAACTAAAAATTAAAAAAAAAATTTAAAAAGGATGTGCTATATGAGTTTATAGTTGAAGGAAATTTTGATATTGGAGAGAGGAGTGATTACTTAAATGTCCACGAAGAGAGTATGCAGTATCAATATTTATACATTAAAGTCTTTCTGAAATTTTAATATTTGATTTGGAGTTTGAATAAACACCTTTAAACAAAAAAAAGTATGAGTCTCATTTAAAAAGTTTACATGCTTAGCGAAAAGAATAATGATAAAAGAAACACTGTTGCTTAAATTTAGAAAATAAAATGCAGTCTATCCAACTATAATGGGGAATTACCATATGCAGGAAAACTATCTAGAGTAAACTTAATAAAAATATTCATACCTTTAGTTGAGCCAAATAACAATCACCTGTAGTAAATATGTATTGATAATTTATGACTATGGAATTAACTGATGGAGAAACTTTCAATAATTGAAATACCACTTTAACAGAAACATTTAATATATGTATATTTAGGTTTCTCATGTTTCATAACATCAGATCAATTAACCATCTATTGAAAATGTAAAAGATGAAAATTTGCTATTTGGTCCAAATTCTACAATTCAGATTTAAGAAATCCCTCTGCATGTTTTCAGGCAGTATAGCACTATACACAAAGAAGCTTCCTGGAAAAGTTAATACATTTCCAAGACTATAAATGGTTGCATTTTAAACCTATATTGATATCCCTGAGTAAAATAAATGAATCAAATTAATATCGCAAAACTGGTTGTTAGAAAGGAAAAACACAAACAGGATTACAAATAGAAAAAAAAAAAAATCACTCCATATCTGGGTTTCTGTTGAAAGAATAAAGCCACCTACAATTTTTATGCTGAAGGAGATGAAGTCAAAATTCTACTAATTAAGCACAAAAAAGAATAAATTTGCCCCCACAAAATACTGAGAAAACTAATAAGCTATTAATTATACTTACTGAATGAATAAATCTTAAATTGATACTGATATCAAATCTATTATCTTAAAACAAACATCTTTATAAACATCATTTACCTTTTTATCTTCTTTTACTTTGTGGGTTTTCTTCTTCATCTTCTTTTCATCGACCTCCTGGTCAGAAGTGATTGCAGGATTATCAATACCACCTTTCCAAGTTTCAACAGGAGAAAGAAGTGGATCTTCTTCACTTCCACGATGTCTTCCTTTTCTTTTTGTTTTTGAAGTAGTGAAAGCTTCATCATCACTTGCATCTGAATGTGTTCTTCTATAATATGACTTGGCTTTACTAAACAAGGTTTTAGATTTATATTTATATTTAGAAGGCCTCCGTTCCCCATGACCTTTTGAGGTTCTATCAGAAAATCCATTTTCTTCATCTCCTTGTGTGTTATTTACAAATGAGTTTCGAATTTTAATAATTCGATTCTGACTATCATCTGGGACAACATAAATCTCATCAGAATAGCCCTTCTGTTTGAAAATTGTGTCAATGGGTTCTGCGTAGTTATCTGAAGAATCCATATCTTCAGGATGTGCCAAAGGCACCCGGGAGGTCTGTTTTCTTGGATTTTTACCAATACCAGCTTCAATTGTTTTTAAGAGATTTGGATCCAATTTTTTCACATTTGTCTTAGGTACAACTGGTTTAGGTTTAATAGGTGGAGGCACTTTATGGTTGCGTTCATGATCGTGACAGTTTGGAGTGCTATGAACAGGGTATTCATTTCCTTCCAAATCTAACCTGTATCTGGAACGGTCACTAGGTGTTGGAAGCAACTGTACATCATCCCCAATTGGACTATAAGGAGGTGGTGCTTCTGTATCATCATCTGAATCAGGGTAGTTGTTATAAGGAAAACAATCTCTGGGAGATGGTAGAAAAACATCTTCACTTTGATGTGTTGACTCCCTTGTATTATCAGACAAGTAAGAATTTTCTATCATATTTTTTTTCTCTAGAACATCACTAAAAAACAGAGTAAAGACCTCAGTTTGCCGATGATACTGAGATAAAGAATACAATGCTGTAAATTTAGCAGTGATCTCAGTTGCAATGTGTTCTCCTTCAGTCATTAACTCCTTGATAGCCTCATTTTCAAAAAAATCTGCTTGGCTGTCAGTAACTGCCACCAGTTGTACAGGAATGGTATCTTGAACTTCTGATAGAAATGCTCGAAGCATTCCCATTGATGCTTTCCGTTTAGCGGAGTAAACTAATATATACCCATGAACCAGTTCATCCTTCCTTACTCCAATTGAAGAGTGATATGACAATATTGTGATCTGTATTCGCCTCCTTTTTTCACCGATAATTTTATCAAGCATTAAGGAATTATTTTGTCCAGCTTGAGCAGCACTGCAAGAATGAGAATCAAGGAATGGTGAAAGAATAAGATCCACACTAAATGGATCACCACACATGGCACACATGACAATTCTCAAGTCAGCTTCTGATACATCCTTATTGGTGGGAACTGGGCTCACCACATCTAAATTGTGTTTAACTGATTCCAGTACTCCTCTTAGAGCTTGCTTTATTTGGGTTTCATTAAATTTACGAGGATATGTACCTGCAGGCACATCTACAAAAGGACACTGTAACTTGTTTGCCAATTGCTGCCCTTGGTGCCTGAGAATGGGAAGGTTCTTGCTAATGGAATCTCTCTGATTAGCCAGAATTAATGTAAATGGAAGATTAGCCATATATTTATCTTTTCTGATCTGGGAAGCTTCAGTTCTTATTTTTCCAATAAATTCCCCAATAAAACTCAGTGACTCAATGGAATTAAATACACAGAAGCACCCATGTGGTTTAAAGGCAGCAGTCCATAATTGACTCAAAATGTAAGGCGATTTGGCATCAACTGGCCGAAGATCAAGTTCATAAATTTTTCCATCTAAGGCATACTCATCATCAGTGGACTGTGTCCTTATCTCATTTGCTAGTTCTTGGGCAAGTCCATCTTTCCCTAAAATGAAAAGGTTAACTTTATCTATATTGGTACTATCATGATATAACCGTGAGCGGCCATGATCCAACTGCAAAAGACTACTAGCAAGTAACTGTTCCACTTTAATGTCTGTACAATTTTGGCCACTAAGGCATGTTTCTTTAGTGGGATGATAAACAAATCCGATATGCTTAAGTAGAAGAGATTCCCTATCAGGTGCAAGTTTCTGTAAAGCTTTATATCTAGGTTCTTCACTCAGAACTGTATGAATTTCGCTCATTTTATCTGAACTTGGTGTTGCGTTAAGATCTAAATCATAAAAAAGTTCAGAATGCTCAAAAAGCATTTCCTGAAACTCTTCTTTGGCTTTTTCAACTATCTCTCGCTGATGCCTACCATATACCTCCTTACTATCAGTCTCAGTGATATATTTGAAGGCTTCATCCTCCATAACAAAGCACATAACTTCCTCCCATGGCTGTCCAGGTGAAATGAAATGAATTTTTTCCAAAGTCTTTTTGAATTTTTCCTTCATTTCTACTCTCCTTTTCTCTGATATTAGATGCTGTACATGGTTCTGGTAGACTTTTTCAGCTTCTAAAGTGCCTAGGAGGTCAAATGGGATTCGTCTATCATTAATTTTGTCTATATGGTCAGTTTCATCCCAAGGTGTTTTTTCTAGCACCACAAAACATAACTGGAAATCTGCTCTCTTCTCCATTAACTTCAAAGCTTCTGACCAGTTCATATGTTCAATCTCTTCTAGATTTGGCAAAAGAGTGTTAAAAGCTCTTGGTAAGGTACTTATATATTCTTCTCTCCTTTTTCTTATATGTTCCTGTTTAAGTTGTTCTATGTGTTTTGAGAATGTATTTCTGGCCTTTCTTGTTCCCTCTAAGTTGATGTATTCTTCATAATCAGGATGATTTTTTAATTTGTTACTAACAGTTTTCCAAGTTGCATGATAATCTCTCACAGTCTGCACAAGTTTTTCAAACTTATCTGTTGCTGTGACAACAAGTTGTCTCTGTGTTTTATAAGCATCCAGATAGGGAATAATTTTAGGCTTGCCACGAGTTTTATCCAACATTTGTACTAGTGCAGTGAAACATGTCTCAATGTTGACATTAAATCGTGCTGATGTTTCTACTACAAGAAGGTTCTTTTTGTTTGAAGCAAATGCCTGAACTTCTCTAAGATAATGATCCACGCATTCATCACATTTAGTTGCTGCTATTATTACAGGTTTTTTTGATTTTGACAGCTGGATAAAAAGGTTGTTCACAAATTTAAGTTGATCATCAAATTTCCTATTGCATCCCTGACTTACATCAATGCACAATAAAAATCCATCTACATTGAGCTTCCCTTCAGGCATCTGCTTCTGCTCAAAGTCTTGCTCTAAGCCTAGTTGATCAGTGCAAATGTACATTAGTTTTTCCGCTGACTGCAATTTAGAGGCAGCTGCACGTTTTATATATGGTTGCAAATTCGTACTCCGATGAGGCAAGAAAGTCTGGTCATCAATGAACTCTGTTTGTTCAATGACATGAATTTTGCATTCTACTCCATCTTCACCATTTTGTGTTATGTCACCCCAGTATAAAAAGTGATCATTGTTTACTACTCGTCCTCCAAAGTCAATGGTGCTAAGCACAGAAGTATGCTCTGGATAATATTCATCTGCTTTTGAGCGTACAAATCTATTGCACAAACAAGACTTTCCAACTCCACAGTTACCTTTGTCTTTTTCAGTCCCAGAGAGTCCAACTACACTGATAGTATAGGATGGGGGACGAGGCTCTTTGTTTTTTGCCATCATAACCGTTTTCTCATGTCTCTACATTCATAAAGGTAACCATGTATACTTCTCATTCTGAAAATATCACCTCAAAATACAGGTCCCAAATTTCAGAATTGTATTTGGTTCTTTGTATTTCCCTCATTTCTGCGCAAAGGTCTTCAAGGTCATGTGGATCATCTTCCTAGAAAGAGGGGGGAAAAGGACAAATCTTAATCATGAATTATTCAGACTGAATTACCATATTAAAGATGTTCATAAAAGCACTATGCAAGTTAATAATAATCCTAGTTATAAGGTTACATGTATTTTAAGAAACCACAACATAAACAGTTGACTCACTATTAAAAATGCAAAATGCTCTCAAATTTTAAGACAAACCTGACAATAATTAAATACAAAAACCTAACATAGTATTTCACTCTAAAATGCCTACTAACCAAATGTGCGCTTTGCCTCTAATTACTCTTTGTGAATCTGAAAAAAACTAGTCCTTTCCACTCCCTTAATTTTCCTGCCTTCTGCAAGACTATGTTGGTAATAACTAAAATGCATTGGTTATTTTGGCAACTCCTTTGTGACTTTTAAAAAATACCAACAATCTTTCTATTACAGATTTCCTCAAAATTTATTCCCAGGCTGGGGTTGTAGCTCAGTGATAGAGTGCTTGCCTAGCATGCAAGGCACTGGGTTCAATCCTCAGCACTATATAAAAATGAATAAAAGTTCATATGAATTTAACAAGATTTCAGAATCTAAATTTTTCAGGAAGTTTCAACTTCTATGGAATCTATCAAATTTTATGCCCCAAATTAAGAATATTCAAATATTTAGTGGGGCACAATGGCACACACCTGTAATCCCAGGGGCTCAGGAGGCTGAGACAGGAGGATCTCAAGTTCAAAGCTAGCCTTGGCAACTTAGTGAGATCCTAAGCAACTCAGAGAGATCATGTCTCTAAATAAAATTGGCTGGGGATGTGGCTCAGTGGTTAAGTGCCCCTGGGTTCAATCCCTGGTACCAACAAATAAACAAACAAACAAATATATAAAATACTGAAAGAAGGGAATTGAAATAAATGGAGAGGTGAGAGTATAGCTCAGTAGTATGAATTTCACCCCCAGCAAGAAAGAAAAAAGAGGGAAGAAGGGAGAAATGGAAAAACAAAGAAAGGGAGGAGGGAGCAGGGGTTGTGGCTCAGTGGTAGAGTGCTTGCCTAACATACATGAGGCGCTGGGTTCGATCCTCAGCACCACATAAAAACAAAATAGTGTGTTCACCTAAAACTAAAAAAATACATAAATAAATAAAATTTTTTTTTTTAAAAAGAGGTCGGTGGGTAATACACATAACGACAGCAGTTAAGTAGATTGGTGCTTTTCAAACTCTAAGATGGAAGAGATCTTTATTTTCATATGGATAAGTCCAATTGTAAAATAAATTTTTTTTAAAAACCAAGCATTTTAATTAGATTCAAGATATATAAAATTATTGTCAAACTGTTTCTAAATGTTCTTGATTTCTGTATTTTCTTTCAGAGTAATCAATAGCTTTAAGACCATATTCTGAGTAGTACCGAGCTAAATAATTTTAAGATTATATATTTGAGACAATCTTTTAGAATTTTTAACATTATCAGACACATTAAGTATCCTTCCAAGAATTATGAAATTTAATTTTGGTTATATATTTACAAGTAAGCAATGAATCACTTTTAAAAAATAAGTTTTATTTGGAGAGTCTTCATATACTTTTGAGGCTGAATTAAAAGCAATGTCATTTCTACCACCTAAACTTTCACTAGATAGGAAAAAATATATTCAGTCATGTACATCAACATATATGAAAATTATTTACAATGTAGACCCCCCCCACAAATATAAAAAGAACACAAAATATTTTAAGGAAAGACTGTATTAGCTCTCCCCTTCCAAATTGCTGGCTTCTTCCCTGATCTCAATTGCAAGGTAACATTTATTTTTATTATAGTGCACATTTGCTATACTAATGGTGAAACTCTCCTTATAATTTAAAGGCTTGACTAATATTTCTGGCAAAACTGTAATAATTTTAAAAATAAAACTGAAGATTATTACATTTTATAAGTTAATTCTATCAGCCGCAATTAAATTCTAACAATCAGCCATCTGATAGTAAAACAAAATGTGTATTAGGTTCACTTCTGAATAAATATTACCATATGGCAGCAACACTTGAATTATATAATGAAATACAACTTTTTATGAAAGAAACATCTAAGATATAATTCAGAGACTATATCTAAAAAGAACTCAAAGATGTTTAAGACTGTCTCTTGCCTTCCAGTTTACAAGACAGACAGGTTAACAGAAAAATAACACCACTATGTGATAAAGACTTGAAATATTAAAGAAAATTTTCAACTAAAATCTAATCCTTATCAAAACAGTAACATCTTTATTAATACTTCTTATATATTCTTACCTGAACACAATATAATTCTGGATACTTTTACTCATTAAAAGTTAAGACTTGGGGCTGAGGATGTAGTTCAGCTGCAGAGTCAGCTGCTTGCCTAACCTGTGCAAAGCCCTGGGTTCAATACCCAGCACCACCAAAAATAAGACTCACCTCTGGTCTTTTATAGAATAAATCCCAAAATACTGAAATATACTTTATTGCTTTAGAAAGCTAAGAGTAGAAATGAAAACACTCTACCATAAAATGTATTATTAAAGTTTCTGAGTTTCAAAAAGGGTTTTAAAATTATAAAAATGAAGATCAAGTGGAGACATGGAAATCTTTTTTTGTTGTTGATGGACAAACATCATTTATTTATTGATTGATTTGTGGTGCTGAGAATTAAACTCAGTGCCTCACACCTGCTAGGAAAGTGCTCTACCACTGAGCTACAACCCCAGCCCGAGACATGAACTCTTCACCTTGTCATTGGTCACTGAAAACTGGAAGTCTTTTTATCTAAGAGACAAACTCCTATTATATTGAAGTTAAATTTTAATACTAAGGCTTCAACTCATCCTAATTAACACGACAGTAGCAATCCACCAAACATGAATATTAAAGTTCAAATAAAAAATAAATTAGTTTTCTGTGAGTTTTACGGTTTTCACACCAATTCACAACAATCTGTCAATTAGACACAGTGAACACCAAAGTCCTTTAAAAAAAAAAAAAACCACTGCCAGACAAGCTGCTTGCTGGTATTCTGAAGTCAGTCCCAGAGCTTATGACATGAATTACCACACGGTGATTTTTATAAAAATTATGGTAGAAAAAATCCTTTCACCTAGAGGTAGGAAAGATGAATGTTGGGCAAATAGTTGCCTTTTCAACTATGACTAGTGTCATCTTTGCTTAATTTACAGGTTTGACTCAGAAGATTTAGTTTGAAATGTTTCAAAATTAAAAAACAAAAGTTTGAGAAACCCTAGACTAGAAAAAATTGTTGCTACACTGACCTCAAAAGGATTTTGCTAGGTTTTTACTATGGTTAAGTGATATAATAAACTTTAAAGGGTAAAGTTAGATCTCATGAAGTTGGCCCTAAAAGGTTTATAAGAGAATTTCATTTCAGACACTGGGATAGTTATATTATTAATTATCCACTGGCTTCTAACATCAAAACTGTACTCCATTAACTAACCAAAGTAGTTTTATTTCTAATTTCAGTGCTAAGAATAAAAAAATTCCCTTCTGTCTTTTATGTTCCCATTAATAAACCAATGACTACTATCTTCAACTATATATAGGTTAAGATAAAAAAGTATCTTTCAAATATGATCACTTAGTATAGTATCCAACTGTGTCAACTATGCATATCTTCTTTTTTTGATGTAATTTTGCTTTTGTATACAGTACCTTGGTTTCATAACTTCTAACAGCATGTTTACTTTTACTGATGAAAAAAACCAAGACAAAAGTAGCAATGACCTACGCGATACTATAATATTTGGTAGGATCAAAGCCTCTTCATGCCCAATCTTAGTACTGCTTTTAATACTATACAGTCTTTCATTTTGCCTTTAAGATGACCTTAGAAACTTGTTTTATTTCAAGGAAATATTTCAATAATTATCTTAACAGAAATTAATGACAATGCATTATATACATGAAACTCTTATAATTATCTATCAAAATGAAGCCATTTCTACAATAGGCCATTCAAACATTACATGCCCCTTTTAATGCAATTTTACTGACATGTAGTGGCTTTCTGCAAATTAAGAGAAAAAAAGTTACACAAGAACTCTCAAAGTGGAAAAAATATTTTTTTAATAATTCAGGACTTAAACCAAAACATTTTTAGAAAACAGAATAGTAGTTACCAGAGTTTTAGAAGGGTATGGGAAGAGGGATGAAAAGGATGGTTTATGGGTATAGGGGTATAGATAGGAGGAATAATGTCTAATGTTCTATGGCATACATAGAACATACAACCATAGGATTATGGTTGACAATAGTGATTTCAAAATAGCTAGCAGAGATGATTTTAAAAATTCCTGACACAAAAAAATGATACATGGCTGCAAAAAGAGATGTCAATCATCCTGATTTGATCATTCATTACACACTGCATACATGTATTGAAACGCTATGCTATACCCCATAGATACGATCACCATGTGTCAATTAAAATATAAAATTAAATGTCAAAGAATTAGTTTAAAAAAATAAAACTGTTCTATATCTTTTTACAAAACTGTCACATTCATTAATAAAAGGTGCAATTTAGCTGGGCGCAGTGGTGCACACCTATAATCCCACAGGCTCGGAAGGCTGAGGCAGGTGGATCAAGAGTTCAAAGTCAGTCTTAGCAACTTAGTAAGAAACTTAGCAACTCAAGTGAGACCTGTCTCTAATAAAAAAGGTGCAATTTTTAAAAAGTATGCTTTTAAATTGCTATGCTATGTCAGGAAATTCCTATTGGCCCTATCTTCAAAATATATTCATAACTTACCTATTTCTGCTAACTTTATTATTATAACCTCATCCTACCTTCCTCATCTCTGGCCCAAGCTTACTTAAAAGTCTTTACTAATTTCCCTTATTCACTCCTATCTCCCCCTCCCCCTACAATCTATTTATATCCATGCAGTTGGAATATTCCTTTTAAAACCTAAGTCAGAGTTTGCCATTATTCTGTCCAAAACTTTCCGGTGCTTTTTATTACCAAAAAAAAAAAAA